TTCTAGTTAATCTTAATGGAGCTAATAAGTTGAGCAAAACAAATCACAATTTCCTCTAAACGATGATTCCCTGGTCTAGGTTACAAGCTATTCAAGATAGGAATTAGAGGCGGCAAAGTCAYCCCATCCAAAAGTTCAAACAGGTAGGAGCAGATATGCTTACAAAAATAGAGAGGATTGGGGATGTAGCTCAGTGGCAGAGCACTTGCCTAGAATGCAGAAGACCCTGGATTTGATCCCTAGCACTCCAGGAAAAAAAATAAATAAATAAATTAGAAAGAAATAAGTATATGTACGTGTGCATGTGTGTATTGGGGGTGGTATTGTAGATGTGAATGTCACAACAGGAGAACTCATGCTACAAACCTGAATTTTCCAGGAAATTAAGGAAAGAAGAATAAAAAATAAAATAAATCTTAAAAAAGAAGGAAAAAGACAGAAAAGGAAGCAGTCTTAAAAGCTGCTGGTGTAATTCCAGAGGATTGAGAAATTTGGCTCAGCAATGATGGTGAGTTTGTTTTTCAGAGGTGCCCCAACTACAAAGTATTCCTCCAATGGTCAGAAGCCTTCCCCTTGTAACACTTGTGTGTATACACAGGAGCCCTGTCCTTCTCTGGTAGGTGACCCAGAGAGCTTCCTAAAGGTCCCTCTACCTCAGACAGTAAATCCACTGGCCAAGGGAAGAAGAGATTCTAGAATACTGATACAGGTTCTTAGCATCCCAGGAACAGTTTATAGAAAAGTAAATCTCCCTAAGTAGCACCTGATCATACACACCATCCCAGGCCCCAATCATTGTGAAGAGGCTGGAAGCTAAGTCAGACTCTAGCTTACCAGCCACTTCAGACAAAGAGGATGACCAGGAACCCCCCATCCTAGATCCCTACAAATATCTGCAGGCACAGTTCTAGGGCAGGCTGTCCTTAAGTAGCACAAAGGGATTGCTTCCTATGCTTCCCAAACTCACCCAAGCAGGCAGTGGGAAGGGAGGCGCCAGCAAGCTGAAGGAGGTTTTTCTCAACTGATCATCTTGGGGAAAGCCAGATACAAATTTCATGGCTGGAATGTAAGCGTTGTGAAATGCTAAAGAAGCCCTCAAGAGGGCCAAGGAGACTCCTTCTGGGAAGGCAGTTGGAGGAGGGCTGGAAATAGTGAGTGGGAGAGGGGCAGGTTACCCAGAGGGGCCTGCCTTTCTGGGAAGCAAGAAATAAGGCCTCCAGAAAGAAAGAAATCCCCTAGTACTGAGGCAGTGCAGGGACAGAGAAAGGGTTGTACTTGTGTTTGAACTTGAAGAAAACAAGGTCTCATATCAAAAAGTAATTCTGCTATAAATGAGCCAGTTAATTCAGAGCTCATTATTTCTGGGATTTAGAATCACTGGGGTTCATGGTATGTCATCCCTGGAGTTAAGTAAGCACAGTAAGCTTTTAACATGGGGCTTAGCTTTGTCCTCAGTGTCATGTGAAGGGTTCATATTCATGCTACAACTAGTTACAGGAGTTCTACCAGTGAAGGTCATTGTTATCTCAGAGACACTGATTCTGTGTTCCCTGAGAATGAAGCAAGAAAGATCACATCCATTTTTTTTTTTTTTTTTGGTTCTGGGGATTGAACTCAGGGGCAYTCAACAACAGAGCCACATCCCCATCCTTATTTTGTATTTTATTTAGAGACAGGGCTCACTGAGTTGCTCAGTGCCTTGCTTTCGCTGAGGCTGGCTTTGAACCTCCTGTCTCAGCCTCCTGAGCCGCTGGGATTACAGGTGTGTGTCATTGCGCCTGGCTCATATTTGTTTTAATGTCTGACAGATTGCCCTGAGCTCTAACCTCTTCTAACCTTAAACAAATTACTTATTAACTTCCCTACATTACAGTTTTCTCATCTATAAAAGGGAGATGTATAAGACTATCTACTCTATAGAGTAGCTAGGAGGATAAATTAAATTAATATGGTTATAAAGTCCTTATAATATTATCTGGCTCAGAATAAGCTCTATAGAAGTGTTGGCTGCTATGGAGGTGTGAAAWGAACAAGCACCTGACTCCCCCAAGTAGGCCAGGACCCAGGTGCTGATGCCTAGGCTTGATCAGCTGTTTTGAACCTCTGATCTATCTCTGTGCCCTCCTCAGACCATACACAGACCCACAAAGACCATGTATCAGAGTTCTCCAGCCCAGAAATCCTGACTAAGGGGAAATCAGACACCAGACAAAATAAGGCCCATGCTGGCTGCTTCCCCACAGGGAGAGGAGCAAATCCTGGTGCCAGCACATTTTGGGTCAGCTTTCTCTATTGCAATCCATGTGGTGTGTCTGAAACAGGGTCAGGTCCCAGAGTGGGCAGCACAGATATTACACTCATGCTTGCTAATCTGAACTGAGTCTGTCACCATTGATCCTGAGACAACAGGGAGCCAGAGTTTGAGAGTCTCAAGGGTGTATTGGAGAATGGCCTTGGCAAAGGAGGAGGAACCATCATTCAACTGGCTGCTAACAAATTGTAATGAGCACCAAGAACCTCAGAGCACACATTCTGATTCTCTCCAGATGGCAAAGTCTGGCACTCTGGGGACCTGACTGAGCACACTTGAGCTGCATAAAGGGGAGATGATCCCAGAGGGCTGGCACCTCTGATCTATTCCCACCCACTTCTGTATGTGAGCCATCTGAGGCTAAGGGGTGGAGGCTGTAGCCTCTGTCTTATGCCCAAACCACTGCTCCACTGCCCAGTCATGGGGTATCTATAGGAACCCAGAGCCTGTGCCTCCTTGAAGCATCTTGGGGTACAATAGCTGAAAGTACTCTCAAGACAGGGAGCAAGATCTCAGGCTTGTCCTGGTAGTAAGGAGGGGCAAGTGGGTGTGCATGTTGGTAGGAGCCCCTGCCCTCTGACTCTGGCCTTCTGGAGGCATGAGGGCCATCTGCACTGACAGTCACCAGGTTATAGGTAATTTTCTTGAGATTTTAAGTCTACTAGTACCTCTGGCTCCCCAACAGTGCCAAGAAGGCCTTTAACAAGAAGCCAAGCTAAGGGCACAGGAAGGAGTATGGCTCTGGGACAGGGTCCAGACTACAGGCAGAGAGCTTCCAGATGCCTCACAACCCAGCTTGGCCATCTGCTGCCACCAGAGGAAGATCCTGGTGCCCCAAAGCCAGCTACTTTAGGCTGGAGAAACACACTGGCTACAGTTGAAAGTCACTCTGAGGTGGCAGTGGAGACCTCTCTAGGCCCTTGCCAAAGAGTTCAACTCTCTTGGCTTCTGGATGGCAAGTTTACCAGTGAGCCATGTTGGTACCCAAGTAACTCTTCTTACTCCACAATCCACTCCTAGAATGTAGTCTTAACCTTAGCTGGCCAGGCCTCCCCTTATTCCATTCCTTTCAGCAGTTTCCTTTGCTTAAATGATTCTAGTATGAGATATCATGGTCCTTCTCCAAGATACTTTCCCTAACTATGCCATGTCATACTGTCTCTTCTTCTTCTTCTTCTTCTTCTCCTTCTTCTTCTTCTTTTTTTGTTTTTGTTTTTGTGGTATTAGGGATTAAATGCAGGGCCTTGCACATGCTAGGCAAGTGCTCTATGACTTACCTATGTCCCCAGCCCTTTTTTGGAATTTTATTTTGAGATAGAGTCTAACTAAGTTTCTTAGGTTGGCCTTGAATTTAAAATCCTCTTGCCTCATCTTCTTCAACAGCTGAGATGGGCCGCCATGCCCAACTTCTGACCAACTTTTCTGTAATATACTGCATCACTACCATTTCTGGGGATCACGGATCAGCAACTGGAGCTATACTACAAGAGCAGCAGCCATTTCCAACAAATTGATTTACTGTCAAATTCATACTGTTAAAAGTTCATTTTTAGTTGGRCACAGTGGTACATGCCTGTAATTCCAGTGATGCGGGAGGTTGAGATGGGAAGATCATAAGATCAAGACCAGCCTCAGCAACTTAGCAAGCAAGGCCATAAACAACTTAGTGAGACCCTGTCTCAAAATAAAAAATTATGAAAAGGCTGGGGATGTGGCTGGCTCAGTGGTTAAGCAGCCCCTGGTTTCAATCCCTGGTACCTCCCCCAAGATGTTCACTGTTTGATTCATGCACCCCCCCTGCCACAAGGAAGATCCTGTGTACCCTGGATGACCCCCTTTGGCCCTGAGTTTGCCACAAAGCAAGTGTGTAATTCAGACTTCTTAGAAGACAGGTAGATCATCCTAATCTTTCAGAATTAGCTGACGTCCTTTTTAGCTCAAGGCACAGCAATTTCCTCCCTGGCAGGCAAGGTTCCTGCTCYGAGCTGCCAAGTCCCAGGCATCCCCTGTCAGCAGCAATTCCCTAGAGTTGCTGGTAGGACTAAGGGCAGAAAGGGATGCTCTAGCCCTGCCCACCACTTGTCCCCTATCAGAGGAAGAGGGGTTGGTGGGAAGGAAGTTGACCCCTGGGGTGGCCTCAGTCTCCCCCAAGGGCTATAGGGCCCCCTGGACAGGCAGCAGAGGCCTACAAAAGATTTCCCTTCCTTTCCCTAGGGCCCAGGGAAGCAGGCAGGAAGAAGTGCCTCAGTAGCAGGCATCTAGTATGGGGGTAGCCAGACAGGGAGGTCCCCAGGGTTGCAGCTATCAGCCGGAGACCAGGCTCCAGGAAGGAAGGAAGGGCAACTCTGGCTGAGGCTGAGATAAGAAGGGGACTGTGCTCAGCACAATGGGCTCCAATAAGGCTGAGAGGCCCCAAGTCAGATTTTGCCCCAACCTGGCCTCCTGTCTATTCACATAGCCCATATAAATATTTACTGCTGTTTATATTCCTGGTCCACTGGGTCCCCTTTGAGGCCTTTACCTATGACCCACAGATCTATGTGCTCTAGACCATGCCTGCCCTTAAATCTAGAGGCCCTGGACTCACCCAGCAAGGGTTATGGACATTGTTCTCTCATACAATCCACAGGGACAGTCCCTCTGGACAAAACTATCCTCTTGTYCCAGGCTTGGAACATTGGGAACTTACGGGGTCCGGTCATGGGTGAGGCCATTCGGCCGCTGAGGGTTGATCTGGGGGTTGATTGGTGGAAGGACAGGTTTGCTGTTGATCTCGAGTCCTCTCCTCAGGGTCTCTCGGATCTGCTCTGTGTCTGCAACCAGATCATTAAATATCCTAAGTAGCCTTTGAATTTCCAGCAACCCCCACCCAGGCCCTGAAACCTAGTTCAACAGACATACTGGGGGAAGGCCACCATGCTAGCCAGTCCTGAGCCTACTCTATGCATCTAGATGTGAGAGCTGAGTGAGGGCAGATTGTGAGGAGATGGGGCAGATGAGGCATCATGCTCTCAAGAAGCTCTCTCTGACTCCAGAAGGCACTCATCATTGTTCTTTTTCTTCCTGCAACTTAGGCCTGAAGTTTACCTTTAACATGGCTGCAGACAGTGACTGACTGCCAAGGCCTTTGCCATTGTTCAGATCATCAGGGATTCTGCGTGTTAGAATAGATGCTGGCAAAGGCTGTAAGGGTCCTGCTATGAACTGGCAGGCACCTTCTACACTTACTTTTGGGTTTTGAGTGGTCTGGCTCTGCTGCCCCTTTGCCTTTGGTCTGGGTCAGTAGGCTACTGAGATCACCTTCCCACCTTGGCCTATCTCAGGGAACTCTGCCTCTCCATGGAGCTAGCAAGGATGGTGAGATGAGAAAGGAGTTCTTTGGTGTAATTATTTCTCTGTAAGGTGCTTTAATGGTCTTTGAGGTGAAGTTTACTAGTTTCATCCCATATATGATATAAAATTTACCTCTGTACACTGCAAACAATTCAAAAAGAGGAAATTAGAATTGGTTGCTCAAAGGGTAGACTTAAGAACAGGAGGACAAGATTACTGACTTTTCTGTTTGACCTGTTACTGTAGCATGGATTACCTTTACAATTAAAAAAATGCTGGCAGTGGTGGCACAACCCATAATCCCAGTAGCTTGGGAGGCTGAGGCAGGAGGATCACAAGTTCAAAGCCAGCCTCAGCAATTAGGGAGGCTCTGAGCAACTTAGAGAGCCCTGTCTCAAAAAAAAAAAAAAAAAAAGGCTGTGGTTTGGTGGTTAAGCATCCCTGCTCGCTCGCTCTTTCTCTCTCTCTCTCTCTCTCACACACACACACACACACACACAGCCAATAATGATTAAAATTGTGGATAATAATATGAATCCCTTCTTAAATTACTTCTTTTGTCAAATGCAATAAAATGATTGTAGTATTTGGATGGGCTTGACACAACATTAGAACAAACAGGATGGAAATGCAGTGTCAAATGTTTGTGACTAAATTTTCTCTTTTGAGAAAGACAAAAACTTTTATGAGTCTTATATATATATAGGAGCTGGGGGTGTAGGTCAGTGATAGAGCACATGCTTAGCATGCACAAGGCCCTGGATTCCATCTCTAGCACCCAAGAATAAATAAATCTCATATATAGATATTTTATTCAGTGTTATAGACAACTTAGAGGGCTGGAAATATAGCTCAGTTGGTACAGTGCTTGTCTCACATGCACAAGGCCCTGGGTTCAATCTCCAGCACCAAAACCAAAAAAAAAAAAAAGACAAGGTACTAAAAAAAAAAAAAAATGATGAAGAGATTGAGAAAGGAAATAGACAAAAAAGTTGCATATGTATATGTAAGTGGCCAAATTTCCTTTGGAGATGCTCTTTGCTAAAAACCACAACTATTTCTACAGCCAACACCAGCATAGGGAGCTTTCAACAATACAATCACATCCTCCTCCTCAAGACCTCACCAGGAAAGCAGTGGGTCCAGGGTGCCCTGCTGTAGCCCCTTAGACTGCCTGTGTAGGACAGTGGTGTGTAGTCACTGAGAGCTGGCCTCACATTCAGGCTTCTGTCTTCAAAAGCCTGGGTGGGCCTGAAGACAGTGATCCCCAGGTCTGGCATGGCCTTCAGGCCAGATCTGGGCCTTTTGTCAATTCTGTGGGTGGCCTACGCTTGTTCTCTTGTGCTTGGGTGGACTGTGAACTTTTCCTGTAACTGTTCTGTGGCTTCCACTCACCTCTATGACCTCAGATTGCAAGGGGTAAATAAAAAAACACAATAGATCCGCTGGTGGTGCATTTGAAGTACATACAGGAAATTAAGCTTCTCTAATTTCCCCTTGATGGAAGACTTCACTAGCTGTTTAAATCAGGCTGGAAATAATCCATTGAGTAGGCTGTTGAGTTGAAAACCTATTTTAGAGAGCCTGAAAATCCAACATGAAACCAAAGGGGGAAGGCAGGGTGGACACTCCTACCTTTCCCAGAGAGCCGTCGGGGCTGTGTGCCGATGCAGATGCTCCGGCTATCTTCATCGTCCTCAGGGGGCCGGCTCAAATCATCCCAGGCACACTTGGCACTCACACCGCTCAGGTTGGAGCCATCTGTTTCAATGCCTTTGTCAACTCTCTCCTGCTTGAAAAGAACCAAAGACCCAGAGTTCCTTCAGAGAACTATGGCCCAATGTCACTACTACCCTCCCAGCTACCACCCTTATAGTAAGTACTGAGCCTATGTAGGCGCTGAGCATGGACAGCTGCTATTAAGAGCAAATTATCTGGGCTGGGGATGTGGCTGAAGCGGTAGCGTGCTCGCCTGGTATGTGTGCGACCCGGGTTCGATCCTCAGCACCACATACCAACAAAGATGTTGTGTCCGCCGAGAACTAAAAAATAAATATTAAAAATTCTTTCTCTCTCTCTCTCTCCTCTCTCACTCTCTCTTTAAAAAAAAAAAAAAAAAAGAGCAAATTATCTGACCTTGTTCTGCTCTGGTTATAGATAATGGGCTTTGCCAGACACTGGATTCCTCCTGGGGATGAAGCCAGGGAAGCTTCTCTACCATTAACCTTTCAATCTAATGGCCTTCACACCTCTTTCAGAGYCCCAACTCTGTCTACCACATGCTGGCCCACAGAGCTGATAAAGCAAAGACAGAACCTTACTCCATGAGCAAAGATACAATCCCTCCTCTTCTCCCTGACACTCCAAGAAGAACCCCCCAGTCACTGCTACAGGCAGGGTGGAAGCCTGCCAGTGGCATGGGTGTTAAAGGGGTGAAGGTGGGGCAGCACACCTGCAGTTCCCCTTTCCAACAGCTAGAGGGGGTGCTCACCCTAGAGCATAAGGACTGTCCTAGCTGCTTGCAAACTTGTTTGGCYAAGGGCTCTGGATGAAGTTTCTTTTCCACTCCTTAGACTGAAATGGGGTCCTGGAGGGCAGTGACCATTTGCAGATTTCCTACAGGCCCTCTGTGCAGGCCTTGGCATATCTGAGTTCAAACACTTTCCAAATGGCCTCAAGGAAGAGATGTACTCAAAACAACTCTGGATTTTCTGGTAAAACATAGTTCTGTGATGCTGGGCTTGGATCAAAGGTCATCTGAGAGGCTTTAGCAACATTGCCTGCAAAGAGCCATACAGGCCAAATAAATCTCCTTATGACTTAGTAAGTCAACAAGAGGCTGCACTTTCCTGTCTGCCTGTCCCTTGACCAGGGCTCCAAAATGGCCAGGGAGTCTATCTAGAGGAAGCATAGGTTCCCTTATTACTTGAGACCAGTCACAGGTGGCCTCTTTCCATCGATCACTTTTTGCTCTCTTTTTGTGCTACCATCAGCCGGGGCAAAGCTGGGGATTCTGAGCAGGGCAACAGCTCTATAAGCTTTAGGCAGGGAGCAATGGGCATGTGGGTCCTGGTTTGTTCAGGGGACAGCTTGTGCATATGCCTCTGCTTCCTTCTTCAAGCCTGCCCTGAGGCCCTCACCTAAGCCAAGAGCTGAAAACAGACACCTCATGCCTTCACTAGTCCAGCCTACTTACTTTATAAGTAAAAAGAAATAAGTAAGACCCAGAGCCAGGCACATTCCAAATTCAAGCCAGTCTCATCAATTTGGTGAGACCCTGACTCAAAATAAAAAATAAGAAGGGATGGGGACAAAGCTCCATGTAATGTCCCTGGGTTCAATCTCCAATACCAAGATCAGAGAGAAACAGAGAAGTTAAGTGATTTGTTTAGGCACACAGCTAATTAGTAGTAGAATTTAGATCAAAGCAACATGAGCCAGCTCTCAAATGAACTGATGGTGAGCAGTTCCCAGAGATGCACAAGCAAATACTAGGAGTTCATAATTGATGCACAGGGCCACCAGGAAAAGAAAGGTGTACTTCCTCCCATGGGCTCCTGCTTGCTTTCAAAGACTTTTGGGTAATGTGGATAGTGCTGGTTGGTCTCAGGGAGTTTGCTGACTTGGAAGAACTATTTTTAGCATGCAGACAAAGGATGGTTTGCACATYCTACCGGTTCAAGGGACCAAGTTCTTTCTGAGTATTTGGCACTTATGACAGAGGTCAAACAAGCAGCCCACAGTGCCCTTTCCTGGATCCCATTATAGCTGCTGAATAAGGGATTAGGGAAACAGCCTTCCMTGGCTCCTTGCTCTTGCTTAGGCAGAAGCTACAATGAAACCAAGTTTAAAGTAGAGATAACAGAGGATCCTGGCATCAATTTGAAATTTTCAGTATTAAAAGCACTAGGAAAATAGAGGAGCATCATGTGTGAATGAGGAGGATTTATGCCCTGAAGCTCACAGGTCTGCAGTGAAGAAACCAGGGACTGAATGCTACATGTCCACCTGCCACCTCTCCCCTGCCCTAGCTCCTGGGTGCTGCCTGTGGCCTGCTCAAAATTTACAGAAGCATAAAAAGTTTGGAGATGGCAATGACTTGCAAATGATAGTAGATGGGCAAAAGAAACCAGATACAACATAGGCACATGGTCAGCTGCCTGCTGCTCCTGCTCCTCCTGAGCAGCCCACAGGAAAGGCAATGATGCTCTTGCAAGTTTCAAAACTCACACACATGCCAAAGGAGTACTTCATATAATCAAAGATGACACTGACATTGTCCATGGGCCAAACTGATGGGCAGTGGCAGGATTGTGTCTAAAGACCCCTTCACACACCAAGGAGTGCCAACCTACCYAGGCATGGTTGAAAAATGTGTCAGGAAGGACAAGATCATTAGGCCGTTTAGCACTCACCTCATAGCTGGGTGTGGGGTATCACCTGTGGTACTGACTGTTTCAAGGTTGGGGTGGCTATAGGATGTCTCCTTGAAAGAAATCTGTGTTCTTTTAAGAAGGGAAAGTGGGAGAATGAATTCTGGGTGAGGAGGCAATACCCACTAATCTTTTGTTGCTGATGATCTAATTTTTAAAAAGTTGGTATGTAATTTACATTCAATAAAATGTATCAGTTTTTTTTAAACAAATATTTTTTTAAAAGAGAGAGAGAGAGAGAGAAAGAGAGAGAGAGAGAGAGAATTTTAATATTTATTTTTTAGTTTTAGTTTTCGGTGGACACAACATCTTTGTTTGTATGTGGTGCTGAGGATCAAACCCGGGCTGCACGCATGCCAGGCGAGCGCGCTACTGCTTGAGCTACATCCCCAGCCCCCAAATGTATCAGTTTTAGAAGTTTTAAAAGCATGTATCTGAGACACTTTTTTTCTGTGCTGAAATCTCTGCTCTCTTATGTCTGTTGCAGAATTCAGGTGTCAAGTTCCAAATCATGTCATATTTCTACTCGTTCACATATAAAGGTCTCCATTTTCCCAGGATGAAAGCCAGTGTTATTTGGAAGAGGCCTAGGCACAGTGTGCTAGCAAGGTTTTCCTCACTCAAGACATACTTGCAGATGTGGATCGATCTCAAATATGGTCTCTCCTCTCCGCATGTCAGTTATCAGCCAGGGACCACCAGCGCTGTGGATAAGGAAAGGGGAAACAATGATAATTGCGAATCTGGAGCTGACAGTGAGCCAAGAGCCTGCCCTGTTTGCTGCCCCAGGTCCAGAACACAGAGGAGTAGTTGTGGTCAGCGATCATTAGGGAGTGAGTGCCTGAAGCACAATACAAAGAAAAGCAGTCACCTATGGGGTAAGGGAGGAACTCCCACCCACAGAGAGCCAGGCCCCATCTCATGGGTGAATGTACTCACACGGGCACCGTCCGCAGCAGTTCCAAGATGCCCTGCCCATTCCACTGCTGGGCTGAATGTAGCTCCTCAGTGCAGACGCCAACAATCTAAGGCCAGGGATAAGATGCCATTGTGTGTTAGTGACCATTCTCCCTGAAAGGTCAATCACCTAGGCTTTCTTGGTGCCACTAAAATGGGGGCTCACAGGTGGGATTGCTGCTCCTGGGCTTGTGTGTTCATAATGGAAGGTTCCCTTAATAGGGAGTGCTAGCCTGGATAGGAGATGGCCGGGTCCACAGATAAGCCCTGAGGCCTGACCCTTGCCCTTGTGTGACAGGTCAGGTGTTTGGCTGATACAAAGTCTAGCTCTCAGCTGCAGAGGAGAAAACCAAGGCCTGAGCCAACTCAGGATGGGTCCTCTGGCTGCATCTCGGAAAGGAAGGAAAGGTCAGGGAGATGTTCCCACAGGTGGTGAACCTTTGTGTGAATCTCCAGGAAACCAACTGAACCTCCACATAAACCACATCATAAGCAAAAGCAAACACTGGTGGCAGCTAGGGAGATTCACACCCCTTCTGGGAAAATGTGAGGCCAGCCTGAGTTTCCCTACTGGGAAGTCCTGCTCCTGTGACGGGTCCTCATATGCTCAAAAGATTCCCTCACTGGGGTCTCTCTTAACTACAGCCTTTCTATCCCACTCTGATGGCCCTTCCCCTTCTCCTCTCAGAGTGTGAAACAGGACCAAGTAAATCAACCTCACAGACCCATCAGAGGGAGAACAATGTGAATCTCCTGCTTCCTTCATTCCCCTCAGGTCTCCGTCCATCTTCCAGGACTTTTCCCACAGGGAAGACTCCAATATCCAATTACACCTCACCTGGAGGAAGGTAACTACCCCAAAGGGTGTCTGCACAGGCTGCATCTGTGGGTCCTCTGTCAGCAGCATGTGCTGAATTCTCGACTCACTGTTATCCAAAGGGCTATGCCAAGATACGTGGTCCCCACTGCAGAAGGTGTTCTCTGTGGAGACACAGGAGGATCCTCATCATTTGTATCCAGGCCTAGAATTTGACTTGGACCTTAGAAGCCCAGGCTGGGAGGCTCCCCATACTCCTGGTGTTAAATGAGGCCCCAAAAGCTCTTGAGTAAATACAGGAATGCTGAGAGGTAAGACAATTGGACTGTGAGAGCTATAACATAATCAGTTTATCCAAGTTTGAATGGACTAACCGGTTGGTAACTGTAGGCAGGCAGGGCATGGCTGGAGGAGGTAGGTGACTAAGGATGTAGCCTGAAAGGATTCATCTTTCCTATGGCCCCTTCTGCCAACTCTTTCTCTCTACTTCTTGGCCACCATGAATGAAGCAGCTTCCCTCTACCATGCCCTTCTGCCATGATTACCTGCCTCACTTTGGGCCTAGAACAATGGAGTCAGCCCACCATGGCCTGAACCTCTGAAGCMGTGAGCCCAAATAAACTTTTCCTCTTCTAAGCTGTCCTTGTCAGATATTTTGGTCACAACAACAAAAAAGCTAAAGTACCTGGGGGTAGCCCCCTGAGGAAGGGGAGAAGCATTCCCTCTGGATGGAAGTGAAAAGTTTGCTGATATCTCCAAAACATCCTGTTTGCTATTCTGTGGGCTTCAATGGAAAAAGACAGGCTGCTAGCATGGATGCTCACTTGGCCTGGGAAAGTCAAAGACCTCTAGCATTTTTGGTCCTTCCCCAGCACCATGATTCATGAGAGGGACAGCAGCCATGATCCTGTCTGCCAAAAAAAGAATGAAGTGCTTTCCTGTGGGGTCACCTAGCTGCATGTCTTTCTCCTTGAAAAAATAGACCATGATTTCTGTGTTACTGAAATGGGGCTTGGAAGGGAACACGGACTTTGGAGGGTCTTTGAGACTGGGACCAGTTCCCCACAGTAGGCAGATTTAGGTATTTCTGAGGAATACTGGAGGCTTCCAGGAAATGAAGGTCTGGATAATACTTCACATACCTTGACAGAGTATATAGGCTGGAAAGGCAGCTGCTTCCATGAGAACAGAGCCACCTAATAGCCTCACCACTGCACCTCACACCAGTCTATTACCTGGCACTTACCTTGGGTACCCAAGACATGCTGTATTGACTAGCCAATATGCATCCCTTCCATTTTTCCTTCCAATATAAATTGAAGTACACCATTTTGCATACTTATTTACCTTAAAGCTCACTTCATATGTGTATACAGAGTGCCACTTCATTAAGTGGCTGTGTCATAATTCATTGTGGTCTAGCATTTATGATGTGCAAATTTCTACAGCTGTAGTCTCTTACAGTTTTTTTTTTGTCAACATTTACGTCAAGGCAGACACACCCATCTCTCTTACACACACACACACACACACACACACACACACACACACACACACACATACACACCAGTCTGAAGGTTCCCAGAGAAGCCTGAAAGCTGCTCTCACTTGTCTTGGTCTAAATACTAATTCCCTCCTGTGTCAGGTAATGTTACATAACTATCTTATCCAAGACACAGATTGCTGTCCTAGCCTCTACAGTGTTCATTCAGGAGGGAGAAGGAAGACTCTGTAGCAAAGGAGAGACACAGCATAGCAAAGGCAAAAGAGAAGGCATACTTTCAGGCAAAGCCAAGGAGAAAACTCCAAATTTCCTGACTCTTGCTRGCTTACCCTTCTCAGATTCCCCCACATGCTCTACAAATAAGCAGCAGTAACAGCAGCAACAGCAACAACAACCACACACACAATACACACACACACAGCCCAGGCCTAGATGACTTCACTGATAAGTTCTACCACATAGATAGTAATTAATACCAATTCTTCACAAACGCCCTCCAAAAATAAAGGAGAAAACATTTCCCAATTTATCCTATGATGTCAATATCACCCTGATAACAAAACCAAACAAAAAAGTCATGAGAAGGGCTGGGTTGTAGCTCAGTGGGAGAGTGCCTGCCTAGAACATGTGAGGCACTGGGTTTGATCCTCAGCACCTCATAAAAATAAATAAATAAAGGTATTGTGTTCACCTACAACTATTTAAAAATTATATATATAAAAAAAGAAGTCATAAGAAGGAGGTTGGAGTTGTGGCTCAGTGGTAGAGCTCTTGCCTGGCATGTTTGAAGTACTGGGTTCAATTCTCAGCACTGCAGATAAATAAATAAAATAAAGGTCCATTGACAACTTAAAAAAAAAGTCACAAGGAAAACTAAAAAAATAATTCATAGAGCCAAATCCTTTATTTATATAGAAACAAAAATCTTCAATAAAATATTAGCAAGCTGAACCTAGAGTTATATTCAATGATTAGAAATGCAAGGTTGATTTAACATAAGAAAACCAATATAAGATGAGTATATGTATAAGTTCAGCAATTTGGGAGGCTAAGGCAGGAGGATCACAAGTTCAAGGTCAACCAGGACAACATAGCAAGATCTTATCTTAAAATAAAAAATAAAAAGGGCTGAGGATGTAGCTCAGTGGTAGAGTGCTCCCTATTCAATCTCCAGTAAGACA